TTCGGTTAAATCTGCTTATCATTTGCAGATGGAGTTGGACTCGACACATTCACAGATGGCCAGCTCTGATGGTAGGAGGGCCAGGAGGGGAGTTATGAAAGCGCCTCTGGCGGTTGAATTTACCAGTAAAGGTTAAAGTGTTTGCCTGGAAAGCATGTTACAACACCCTGCCGGTGTATGTAGCTTTGAAATCTCTGCAGAGGTGTGTGGACCGTGCGGGGAATCTGTGAAAACTCTGATGCATTGTTGGTGAGTGTGTGAGGCGGCTACAAAAGTATGGGCAGTATGTTCTATTGGTTTGCTACTCAATTGGGCAGATTTAATAACTTTCTAGATTGGATGTATGTTGTTATGCTCCATGGGAAGGAGAAGATGCTTAGCTTCTTTGTTGCCCTGTGTTAGGGGATCTGGATTTCGCGGAATGAAGCTCTTTTTAATTTCTAAATAACAAAATGACTGGGCCTCGTTTGGGAACAGACTATTTTAGTAATTTTTTGACTTTTTACGAAAAGATGTGCAGAAAAATAGAGAGGTGATGTGACTGGTTTTAGTTGACTTTTTGACTTTTTGGCTAAAATAGTCACTCCCCAAACAAATATCACTTTACTTATCTCAACTTTAAATTTATACATTTAGACTTATCAACTATCAAAATGGCTTCATGTTTACCCTCTCCGAAATAGGGTCAAAATATGCAGTTTTAAAGTTGAACGAAGTAAATAAAGTAATATTCAATGATAATTGAGAAATAAATTATAATTAACCTATATATATATATAGAAGTTATATAAACCATTGTTTTCCAAGGTTCACATACATACTTCCTGTGTGGGTAATTTTCTGACCACACTGCCCGTCTAGTAATCAGCTGGAAAGCACTGACAGAATAGATGGCTTCAACAGACCTGTAACCAAAAGAAAAGGCTCCGGCGGTGGCTCTTCCACCCGGGGGTACTCCGACGATCAAGTCAGTATATCTCTCAAAGATAATCAAGTGCTAAACTCACAAGCTTCAGTATAAAACTGCGTACCTTAGACCCACGGGGTGCCTCTCTTTTATAGTTTACTAAATCCAAGTCCCACTAGAAGTCTGACTTCTATGGACTCCAATTCAATGTCAACTTTGGACTCTACAAGAGATAAAGATAAACTCCCTAAGAGCTTTATCCTTATCTTAGCAGAAGTCTTCTCTTCATTCTAAGACTCTTGTTCCATATCCGTTTATCTCGGATTCCGATATCTTCGGAGATCACCTCGGCCTTGCCTAGGTAACCTCGGCATAACTACCAGAACACGTGGCACCTCGGCTGACACGTCGGCATCACCATGCCACGTGTTGGTATTCAGAAAATACATCCCCACACTTCCCACATTTGTTGGTGGAGTTCTTAGCAACTCAAGTTACCTACGCTTGTTTTGTATATGCATATATGAGATAAATAATACTATATGTATCAATTAATATATTAACTAGTATACTAACAGATAATGTGACATAATTTTAGAGGTTTTAAGTATTTGTAATTTGCATAATAGGTGGATCAATAATAATAGCATAACATTAGTTGATACACTAATGTGTACATTAATTGGGATATGTTGCACTACCGATATGAGATATATCAAAGGTGTTTTTGAGATGCTCAAAAGTTTTAAAATGACTTAATTAGTTAATTGTCAAGGAGATGTTTCTTGAATGTAATTCAAAGGTCAACTTCGCTATAATCAAGCTTTCCGTTTTGAAGGGCGAGATTTAATGCATATTAATTTTGAACTTCTGACTTTTATCATTATGTGTTCTCGAATGAAATTGATATTGGACTAGTCTTCAAGTTTATTTTGAGAAATTACGTGTAAATTCCTGTTACCAGACTTATCTATCCCTCTCGTATCCAGCTCCTCAGTAGATATCCTATTATTACATCACTCTTAACCTTTTTTTTTTTCAAATAAAAAATAAAAAAATTTATATTTAAAAAATTGATGTTAGACCATTGTTCAAGTTCATTTTGAGAAAGTGTGTGTGAATCCCTGTTACTAGACTTATCTAGCCCTCTCGTATCCAACTCCAGCAGATATCCTATTGCCACATCCTTCTTAACTTTTCTTTTCCTTTTTCTTTTTTTAATGAAAATTAAAAAAAAATCATCTTTAAAGAAGGAAAATAATACTAGTAAGAGTACACCATTTGGAGAACAAGGGCCAGTTGCCCAAAGATACAAAATAGTGAAACAACTTAAAGAAGTTGACTATTAACAAGATGGTAAAGTAAATAACTCTCGCAATTGGTGATGCCAAACATACTGATATTGAGTTCGTTTGAGATGTGAGTTAGTTTGTTGATTTTTTGACTTTTTGATTATTTTAATTTAGGATTAAAAAGCCTCATATGTGATAGATTTTTAGATTTTTTTTACTTTTGTGAGAGAAAAAATGAAATGATTATGAATTAGATGTGACATTTTGTCTTATTTGGCTAAAATCGCCTATTTTGTCCTATATAACTATTTTAGCCCAAATGTGTATCACAAATCGAGCCATTGTGTTGAATGTATGCATGCTAAGGCATGTTTTTTTTGTTTTTTTTATTTTTTATTTTTAACATGAAAAAAAGGGCTCTGTGGTGTCATCATGGCCCCATTGGGCCCTAGCCCTGGAGTAGCCGGTTGCCAGATAGGAATTAACCCCCACCAAGTGAAGGACCCACCACCAGGGCACCAATGCAGGGCAACCACACGCCGCAGCAGAGGACAGGGTTCAAGAAGAGTATGAGCGTGTTCTCAAGAGAGATTTCAAACGCCCCTCCCAGGAATCAACCCTGACTCTCGGCTAAGAAATGCGCCGCATCCTCCACCAAGCCACCAACCCTGGTGGTCATGCTGATTCCAGTCTTCTTGCTTAACAATTTAAAGATTAATTTTTCTAGTGCCACTAAATTGACCTTTAGTGCCTCATTCAGGACCACTTTTGCTTCAGAAAACAGGAAAAATAAATAATAAAAAAATAAAATAAGAGGTATAAAAGTGAGACATTTCTCTTGGTATACATGGCATGAAATGTTTGTTGACCTTGCCTATCCAGTTCAAAATTTTGGTCCAACTGCCAATAAATTTATCAATTTGATTTTTATATTTTTTTGTAAAAACTTAACTCCCTCCATTTTCTCATAAATCAATCAATCCCAACTCTCCAAACTCTCCCTGAACTCCCTCTCATATTTTCTTCTATAATTTATGAAAATCAAATCAACAATCTCTTACTTCAAAAATGTTTAGTCAAATACTGAAAATTGCTCAAAACAAATAATTTTTTTCTAATTTTCAAACATGAGATTAAAAATTATAAAATTATGGGGCCAAAAACACAACCACCACCAACCACTATCACCAGAACACAAGGTCCTACCACAAACAATCAAAAATCACCCCCAATTAGCAACCAATAATTACCACCACCACCATCACAAATTGATAAATTTAACCATTTTCGTACAAAGAAATTTCTATATCATTAATGTATTCACCGATAATTTGCATCGGTAAATAAAAATTATATACATCACTATTAAATTTCAACAAAAAATTAATCCCAAAAAGTTGAGGATAGTACCAATTCAATAAAGTATGTGTCAATTCCTCGTGATTTATGCTTTTCTTTCAAAAGCAAACAAGTGGTATTGTTCATCAAGTGTTGCATTGGTTCCTAGACACACCATTTGTGATCATTTAAGAACAAGCAATCCTTCAATCAATGCCACTATTCATATAGAATTCTGATTCAAAAAATGCAATGAAAATGAGTAAATTACAAATTTTACGATAAAAAGGGTAAAAAGGCCCCTTTTTTGGTATAGAGAAAATATAAGTCTCACAATTTTAGTATATTTACATTGAGCCTCCTTTTAGTATTAAAATTATCGAAATTAATGCAAATAGTGTGAAGACATAAAAATAAAAAAGGTAAAATATGCATTTTTTTTTTTTTTATCAACAGACTAAAAATTATAAAATATGTATTTAGTGTAAAAGATAGGACAATATTATTTTTTTTATTCATATGTAATTATGTCAAACTTGTAAAATTTATTATATTTAATCCAAATTTCAAGGGAAATCAATATAATTTACCCTAATAAATTAAAAAAAAGAAAACTCTATGTAAGAATCAATTCAAAATAAAACTACTGTGTTTGGTTTGAGTTTTCTAGGTTAAGTTTTTTAAAAATTGAGTTTTTTGATTTTCGTGTTTTTTTGTTTTTAGTGAATATTTTTAAAATTTTAAACATTTATTTTTACTTTTTTAGATGCACCTTACTTAGATGTGTCTAAAAAGTAAAAAAATTGTGAAAAAATATTTTGAAAAATTAAGAAATACATAAAAATATAAAAAATATACTAAATTCTTGTATTTTTTTGTATTTTTGGTATTTCGTGAATTTTTAAAAGATTTTTTTTACAATTTTTTTACTTTTTAGGTGTATTTATGTTAGGTGTGTCTAAAAAATAAAAAAAAATGCATAAAATATTTTAAAAATTCAATAAAAATAAAAAAACACGAAAAATAATAGTGTAAAATTTTCTGAAAATTGTTTTTAAAAAATGAGAACCAAGCAAAGTAATTGTGTACTTTACTACTAAGAATTTCAACTATTATATAAAATTCTCTCTACATAAATAGAATTGATAAATTACATAAAAATCTCTTCACAAAAAATTTAACAAACATAACATAACTTACAACCTACTACTGGGCCATAACTTTTTTGTTTTTTAAACATAACTAGGCCATAACTTCAATTCAATTAAAATTCTACCTATCACAATTCTTATTTAACTTAAAACCTTTGAAATTAATTTGGATTTTCTATTTTTTTTCATTTTTTTTTTTTAAAAAAAAATTGACAACCAAACAAAAAAAATAAGTTCTAAAAATAGCCAAGTCAAAGAGTGAGGGTAATATTAAGTTCATATCCATTTTTGCAAGTTACCCAATTGACCCGATTTCCTAATAATAAAATACCATTCAGAAAATGCTCTGCACGAGTCATGTTAATGAACTTTTCTTCAAGGAAACTGTTGTTTGCACATGTACACAAAAGTACAAAAGAATTTCCCCAAGAAAACTTATGTTCCCTCATTTTACATAAAAGAAAACCTCTTCGCTGGGCTAATTCTGCCCAGAAAGAACAAAATGAACCAATTGCTCCGAGGGTTTTCCCCCTTCATTTCTCAGCAATGAAAATATTGCTCCTCTTTATTCGCCACCAGATGCTTGAAAATCAGAAAGAATGTAGTAGTTTATGCACTTCACGATGACCATTGATCAGACACAGTAAGAAAATAGGTTGTCATTGCTTTTCGGAATCTTTTCTTGTATTGTTTGGGAGAGATAATGGTCGGGGAAGCGTTCTTTGGACCTCCAAGTATGCCAGATGCCTTTACCCATGTCTCCAAATGTTTGTCCCACGTATATTGTCTCATGAAATCAATGATCCCTAGAACCAGCTCTTTGCTCTCATCATCCACCCCCACCAGCAATGAATAATCCATCACGTCAACAGACTGGACAACAAACAAATCAATCAATGTTGATTATCAAAAAAATCCAAATCCAAATCCAAATCCAAATCCAAATCAATGTTGTTTATCAGCTTTTGAAAATGGGTGACTTTCATGCAGAAGTCGAACCTACCCTCAGGTACTATATTGCCACCATCCTATAGTTTTAAGAATTCTTAAGTGTTCGAATTGATATAAATAAAGTGATCACTGTTTGTTCAGTCTAAAAATGAAAGATTCATTCCCATCAGAATTATGATAGCCCAATACATACAAATGTAGTTTATCAATGCAAAAATTATTAATATCAGACAGTAAAATGAACTTTAAAAAAAAAAAAAGGTTTCATGAAGGAAAAAGGATTCTCCACCTAAATATTGGAGGATCAAATTGCATAGCAAAACTAGAAAGCCAACGAGAGGCACTACTACAAAAACCTATAACAGTCATGTATGAGACTTGTATTACAGCCAACAAAAGATTGGAAAGTCTTTTCAGATTTCAACCAGGCTTCAAATTTATGTCAAGCATCTTAAAACCTAAAATGATGATGTGCTGTCAAAACAACTTACCGCTAGAAAAGAAGTATCATTCCAAACAGCCCGTTCGAGGCTTCTCTTTGCCTTGCTCCCAAGGAATATGGGTTTTGTACGCAGTGTTTCTATAAGATTCATATCAAGCAATACTTTGTTTGTCCCTGTTGTATCTTCATTGTAACGAGCTCGTGAAGAGCCCTTAAGATCATAGACCCTTGAGATACTTCTTTTGAAAAAGAGGTTTTCCATCACTATCAGATCCATTTTTGTTTCTTTGCCACCTTTCAAGTGTTTGACAGTTACCTGCCATTCAGATTACAGTTTAGTATATCACAAGAACCGAACCAAAAATCACCAAAGCAAAAGAATTTGTCAATGAGGAACTAACCTGATAAATACCAAGAACTTTAGCAAGGCATGTTGGACTTCCTGAGCTGAGAGAATCTGTCAAATACTTGAAGTACTGGGGTGCAAATTCCTCAAAAGATTCCAACTCAGTCTTCTGGACTTGTTTTATAATGAATCTTTCATCCAAAGACTTCGCAAAGTACACGTTGCTCTTTCCCCCTTGTGCACTCCATCTCTTGCAGCGGCTCAAGGAACGTACAAAATCCACTTCACCGGGGCAGCATTTCTTTCTAAGAGCATTAAACTGCTTCGCAAAATAACAAGTGACGGAAAACTTAACTTTTCCCCCAGCAATTAAAGAATCATCTTCAAAAGAAATCCGAAGATGAGGAGAATTCTTCGAATCCGTAAAAAGGGAACCAATTGTCAATGAAGCATCTTCAGATCCATAACTTCCATAGTGGATGTAATCCAAATCCAGAGATCCAAAAGACTGCCACTTGGAAAATGTAGAAGCTGAAGAATTTCCTTCATGCCTATTCGGCTTATCAGCAATCCAGTCCTCATATTCCTTGGAACTGAGAACATAGGATATTACACTAGTGGGTTCATTGTCATAAACAGCGATGACTAAATTATTTTGGCCAGTTTGTGGAAGCAGCAAATGAGCCCCTTCGGGCACAAGGGATACGGAAGAGATGAATGAGGGTGTGGAATTCAGTAAGAGATTTAATTTATGAGCCTCCCGTGGCGAAAATTGAGAGTGAGTCCTCTGTACATTAGAAACTGGATCTCTAACCATACTCCTGTACTCTCCAGAAGCATGGAAAGATCGAAGTGTTGACAAATGCAATGAAGAGGGAGGTAATCCTTTTCTAATCCTTTCTCGAAGTCTCAGTGCGGAATCAAAAGAATAAACTCTTACCGGTGACGCTGCTAGCCTTTGAGAAGTTGGATTATCTGTTTGATTTATGTTCTTGACAGAACCAACCTGAGGGCCATCTGTCTGTTCGGTAGTAAGAAACTGAGCTTTCGATGGAAGTTGAACCGTGCCAGTCCATGCAGAATCTATTTTCTCCGACAGATTGGATGCAGGCAAGCGGCCACTATCTAAAGATGTCGTACCAATCATAATTTGTCCATCAGATTGTGGTTCCCCTTGTCTGTAATGCTGGCATGAGGATGACATGGTGTTTTCAGGAACACTAGGCTCATAAGGCAATACGTTAGGATCATCCTTCTGCTCCGACTCAGTACAATTCTTGGACAACTCTTGTAAGTTTGTAGACTCGGAAACATTTTCTTCATAACCACGGTCAAGACTGATATCCTTAGAACGTGAATCACTTCTCAACTCTTTCAGCTCAGTATGTGACATAGCATCCTGTGTAGCCTTGGGACTAAAACTCCATGTTTTAAGAAGGGAATCCAAGGAATAGAGCCGACGATCCCAAACATGTGAACCGATTACAAGGTTACGTCTCAGGCGATTAAGCTCAAGAATATCTACTGATGCCTGATCCAACAGTGAAGTTTCTTCACCAGCTGGTTGAAGCAAATCCTGTTCATGAGAACCAAGAAGAGATAAGTAAAGATAGGTGGAAGCCCTGCTTCCAAGAAAGGTTAAAATTCAAATAACTATATATATACCAAAACCAAATTAAGCATTCATATGAACCAAGAACTCTGTTCATACAATTACCAGTGATACTCACCTTGTAATCACTACACTCTTGTTTAAGCAGATCCTTTAACTCCATGATGTGGTCAAGTATGTGTAATTCACTCACATTTGCAGACTTTTCATGTTCCAAGGGAATACGTTTGTGTTCAATGCTGTGAAGTACAGTACCTAACTCTGCATACAAGGCTTCTGTTTTACACAGAAGCTGAGAAGAAAGAAAAGACAAAGGGTCATCACATAATTATTCATTTGAAACATGCAAATATTATAAAAACAAATCAATATTTAGCATCCGTTCAGATAAATTGGGAAAATTGCAAACTTAGATTCATATAGCACCTCAGCCGCCTCTTTTCTTATCCACTCCTGTTGATCATGGCGATTGAACTCAAGTACAGATGGGGGCAAACGGACAGAAAGAATATCAATAGGGGAATAACGGAAAAATGCAACCATACCCCCAAACCTGTTGAAGCAAAAAGAAAAATTTTAAACACCATCGACATCACACTCCACGATCAGAGAAAATCTCAATGATCACCATTAGAACACATAACAATGGTAAAAGGAAGCTGATTCTGATTTAAAATTTAAAAAATAAAAATAAAAACAGAAACTGTATATAATGTACCCATAGTAACGAAGGCAGTCCTTTTGCAGAGAATGACCACAGCTTGCAACACGATTAGCAGTAGCATGGTTTGAAAAACTAAGTTCCAAGAACTTCCCAAAGGAAAGTCCCCAAGCAGCATCTGACATGAACACTCTACGAGTTGCTGGAGGAACTCCATCAATCTGTGCACACTTGAGGCATCGGTGCCACATCCATATCTTTCCATCACGCTCCCCAGGTAGCTTCACTGAGGGAAGGCGTTTAATGTTTATGGTAAGGTTTCCCTGCTGGTGAGTATAGCATAAGACATGGGCTTCAGTTGGCTCTTTACAAGATCGGCAGCTAGATGTCTGGCAACATATAGAGCAAATAATTCATTCGTGTAACTCCAGTTTATAAACAGACATCACAAAAAATAGAACAATGAAACCTGAATCTGTTACCTGATCAAACAGGTCATCTCGAAGATACCTCCCAAGCGGCTTATCAAAACAACCGTAGAACTTGATGCGAATGAGTCGAGAGCGTTCACATACAGTTTCATTTAGCACACAACGGCTCGAAAAGGATACCAATATGCTCTGGTGACCATCTGTTGCTGAATAATATTCACTTGAGGCTTCATTTCCATCACCCCTATCAGGCCCTTTCAGTTCAAAAAATTCCTTCTGTTGTCTCTCCTCTTGACCTGTGGTTTCCAACAATTCCAGCTGGGTATGGTTTCCAATCTCAGAAGGAAACACAGTGGGGACCTTCATATCATCCAAAGGCTCATTAGATGCTAAATTATCGTCACGTACAACAAAAGATGCATATCCAACTCTACACTCCATTGAGGTAGAAACAAAATCATGATTAGGATTTAGATGCTTAGATGAAAATTCCCTCACTCCAAAAGGACCAGCAGATCTATCAATAATATCTTGGTCATCAGTAAAAGCTAGGTAATTAACAGAAGAAACAGAATTAGGGATAACTGGAATGGCATTATCAACAGTTGTCCTCTCAGGTACGGAAATTGAAGGTTTGATCGTAATTTTAGGAAGACTAGCACCCTCATCAGCAAGGAAGGAAGTCTCCAGAGATAAATGATACGCTGCAAAAACTGCATAATGAACAACATCCTTGACCTTCTTCAGTTCTTCACGACATGAGCCCTTCAGCAGTACCTACAAAAAGTCACAAGTAAGGGATAAGTGAGATAAGTGTTCCTCAGACACAGACAATAAGAACATCATAGATTATGTTTCACAAATAGACAGGCTTATTTTAGCAATTACGCGAAAAGCAAAACAATGCTAACTAGAAGCTTACACACCTACAAGATATCCACAAAATATGTTGTAGAAAAGATCAATAGAACTTTAAACAAATTTCAGGTCAAAAACTGCTATTTTTTAGGTCCAAGGGTATAATTTGTACTACTGATGAAGAAACTTTTAACTCCAAATTCACAATCAACTAGCTTTATATTAATAGCCTCTTTTCATAATCCAATGGTAACAACTTTTTTATCGGAAACTACTTATTAATAGAAAGAACTGATATAAAGGAATCCGAACAAGAATTATTTTCACAGATAATCATAACCAAATACAAATGCAAATAAAGCAAAGAGAATAGAAGAACAATATGTGCGAGACCTCAACACCATGTTCATATGATCAAGCATTGATGATAATAAATAAAAAAACTAGGGGTATTTTTGCAGTAGTACATATAATCAGGTCGGGGTTACTGTTCCCACCACTGCCCCAACCCCAATCAGGTTCTCCATTTCCACACCCAAACCTCACCCCTACCTTATTAAAAAAAATAAAAAATAAAAAAACCATTACCATCCCACTGGGGTCAGGGTTTTTTGCCATCCCTAGACAAGATCGGTTCATCCTCATTTATTTATCTCTTCTTTAGACGACAGACTGGGGTTGTTATGGGCTAGATGTTGAGTGCTCAAAAATAATTGTTGAAAATACCACTAATTTCCAATACAAGTTAAAAAAATAAAAACCCATTACGCAACTTTGGTCCCAAATGTGATCGGAAGGAGCAGTTTGGGTGTGAACCTAACCTGATGTATTGCTACTGCTCATATGTTGTGGTTTGCACATTTAGAAGAGGACAAAAAAGTAGACAACATCGATGCTTTCAAGGTGAAATATTTAGGCTATAAGCTATACCACATAAGCACAATATGGTGACAGGGTTGTCACATAGTAGCCTACAAGGGGACCGTTTGGGGGGGGGAGGAGTTGGAAGAAAAAGAAAAGAAAAGAAAAAAAAAGGTAGTGATACTATAAGTACAAGAAGCACATTAAATGAAAAATAAGAACATTAGTTAGCATTTTTTGGCACCTTCATCAGCTCAACAATCACCAACTATGATAAAACAAACATAACATAGTTTCTATAGGCAGGTTAATCCATGCAAACATTTCACAAAAGCACACTTGCTCAAAATTAAAAATATTCCCCAAACATATGTTGCTACATGACAAAAAAATAATCCTAAAGTGAGTGAAGTTTTGACATGACAAAACGTCGAAAATAATGCTCAAATAAATATGTTGCTACATGATTAATTTGGAGGGAGAAAAAAAAAACCACCTATATTTTTATTGGATGCCTAAATGTTATTTTAAAAAAAATACTCTAGATTACGAGTACCTTCAACTCTATATGTAAAATATACAAGTCTACCCCTATTCGTACCACAATTTAGAGAATATGGTGTATTGCGTTCATGTTCCCATCCCGTTCAACAATCCACACTTCAGGTAACATAGCATGAGCCAAATTCATGACACTTAAAGCCTCAAGATCTCTCCTTAAGAATCCTTTAGATAAAATCTTTTAATTAGCTTGGCAGCAAAGTCCTTAATGACATAATATACACATGTCCAATACAATAGTGAATGACATCTGAATGAGTATTAACTGAATCTCCAAAAAAAAGATTCAAAGGCATCAACTCCAAAAACAAAAGTGGAATAACTTTTATCCGAAAAGATCCAGAGAAAATTCTACATAATTTTTCTATAATTTTAGCCCTATTATCAAGTTACAGCGAAAATGACAGCTTTATCGATAAAAAAGTAAACAACATCCTCATCTATGTCTACAACGGCTCTGAATAAATAAAATGTGCAGATACACCCCATATTAAAGGAAAGTGCCAGAAAAAATCAAAGAATTCACCATACACAACAGCCATGTTTTAATTACATCATATGCAAGAAAACAATCTTATATAGAACCTTTTTTAAAAATATGTAAGTTCAAAAAATAAAAAATCAAGTTTCAAATGCAATCGAAATTAATAACAAATTGATGTAAGAAATATTACCGTGCAACCTAAACGCCGGGGACAACCTTCAAAAAACATCAAGGTTTTTGAGGGCTTCTTATTGAATTGGTTGGCTTTCTCAAGTTCTTCGGACACTCTTTTCCAGCCGGAAGAGTTCACAGCGTCCCACCCGTGTTGTAGAAATATTGTCAATTGATGGAGCTATAAGAGCACCAGTGCACCTGGCTATGCGTTCCAATAATGGCCTTTTCACATTCAACACTAAAGAGATTTCCTTTTCTAACAGATACTCTTGGGCATATGAAGATACACTTTTTTCTACAAGCAGCACATTTGGACGGTGTGTCTCTATCTTTGACACAATCACCTTCAGATGATCAATTTCCTGTTTAAAAAACATAGTTCAAATTCCTTTTCAAATTGCTATAAATCACTACAATGATGAATAAACAAACAATTCAGACAAAAACCTGTTGCAGTAATGTATTAAAAGAAGATAGCTGATTAGGAACTCTTTGGTACTCGAGCGCTCCTCCTAAAATAAGTAATCTAGGTTTTTTGTATTGGGAAGTCATGCGCTTGTGCTTAATATTCTTTGTACAAACTACTCCTTTAACAAGTGTGCTGCATGCCCAACAAATAACAAATTTAAAGATTCATGATATACACTTGACAAATACAACTAAAGAAAATAGGTAGAGCATAGAAACTCTAAAAACAATTAACTAAACAAAGAAAAAAGAAAACAAACTTACCTCTCACTAGGACTGCCTGATGCTATACACTTAACCTTTACATAATCACCAGGATCCATGCTGCCTCCTCTGCTAGTATCTGGTCTGACAAAATTTGCAGCTTGCCATGCTATAGTGGTAACAATGTCAAGCCAGTCCTCTGTACTGTTTTCTTTGGCCAATTTGATACCCTCCCCTTGTAACAACTGCGACACAAGAGCCCTAAAATGCCCCTGTACCACAGCTCTCAGAGGTTCCTTGTGTCCTTCATTCTGTTTCTCCTTTGCTGGGAACATGCTAGGAAGGCTACTGCTGGATGAAAACACCACACCTGAATCTCCAATCTCATCGTCGTCATCGTCATATCCAAAGAAATTGGAATCTGACTCGTCATCTTCGGCTTCAGGTGGCGGAGGAAACCATATTAGACTATTATTTTCAAAATCCAATGGCTTTTGCAACTTCTGGCATTGATCCCGAAATATAGACAAATCATCAGCACAAACATCAGTATTTTCTGGATCCTCAGTCCCTCTCTCTGGCCTTCTTAAAACAGCCATGGAGTCTTGATCAAATGGACCAATATTCTGAGATCTCAGGGTTCCTCCTCGCTCCAGTACAGAATGCCTAACTCTATTGGAAGTAACACGAATTGCAGATGGACTATCAGAAGGACTTGATCCAACTGACTTAAAACTGCAAAGCTCATGTCTAGCACTAACGCTACTTGAGTCTAAATCCGAAGTGTCGTTACAGTATTCACTTGATGGGCTGAAAAAGGTCCTTGTAGAATCCTCTGCCTCTTCATCATCACTCCTACATTCATGATCACATTATTGACATGCACGCAATGAGAAACAAGTTTTGTCCAAGACGAGGAAAAATAAAAAGCTCCTATTATAGTTGGAAGGCATCATTTGGTCAACGTGATATAATTTTCTCACAATCATTGTAAACAGCAAGAAATGAGGTTACTCCTTTAATCTTGAATTGCATTTACATATACTCCCACCAAAATATCAAAAAATTAACAAGAAACAGAATCCAATTCACATGTATGCAGAGTGAATTATTAAATTTCATGCTTACAGGTTCTTGAACACTCCTATGTAGGTGTGTTGGCATAGAAATGTAAAAATCAGAAACTTCTACTCAATGCAATCTACTTCCATACCTGCTTGGAGTGCAACGAACAGCAACTGGAGATGGATGACCAGTAAATGAAGTAACACTGCTTCTGGTCAAAGAATGGGGGGAATAACCATCCAAATTTTCACTACTGAAACAAGGTGATGCAGGTTCAGGACTTTGTCGGGGAGACTCTGAAGGATAGATCTTACCACTATACTTTTTGCCCCCTTCATTCCTAAAACTAATCTCGGAACAAAATTTGCAAGACTTAATATCAACCCCAGCATCCACAGTGCTTTCTGTATCGCCCGAAACAACACCCAAAGAACCATAGCCCCATGCACAATTCGCACATAACATTCTATCACAGCTTTGGCAATGGTACTTCAGGCAATTGTCTGTGAAGCCCAATTCAGACTCACAGGAGTCGCAACAAATTTTGGTATTGTTCATCTCAAATTCACTGGACAAAGAAATTAAATCGCTTGTTCCCCAATAAATCCAAGATCCAACCTTCTCTATCAAATCTAGTAGTAGACTATCAGGTATTCCCATAGAAAGCAATGACCCAACAAGTACCCCCCACCTACTCCTCCTTCAAGACAAAAACTGTATCACTCTTCTCCTCCTAGTCTGAAGTTAAAAATAGCTAAATCTACAACTAGACTGAATTTATCTGATTCGTTGGTATCAAAAACAACCCCGATTAACAGAAGCCAAAATTATGCAACCCAACAAGACAAAAAAAAGGTGGGTTTTTCGATTACTAGTAAATTGAAGCCCTGATTTTTTTATTTTTTTATTTTTTTTTTTATTTTTTTGCTATTTTTGGGAAAGGACAATAAAAGGAATTAAATTCCTCCTGGAATCACAAATATTTCAAAGGAGGGAACGCATGGTTACCATTTAATTCACAGAAAATGGATTATATTTACACCAAAACCTAATTGTATTAATATGATGACACAAACACAATGAATCAAAATAACAACAATGACCCAATATTTTTTTTTCCCCTTTTTTTTTAAAAAAAAAAAAACCTTTTCTTGGATCGACCTATCACAGCAATTGAAACAGCGTGAGATTTCTGAAACCCTAAACCCAACTAACCAATCCCGGAATCAACAAGATTAGATCCCAAGATCGATGCAAGCATTAGACAAACAAGATCCAGAACTTAGCAACAAGAAGAGAACCACGAATCAGATAAAATTTCAGATATGATTCTCTAAATCAAACAGTTCAATCTAAAAAAAAAACAAGAACAACAAAGAACTGTTCGATTCAGTCAAATTGAAATCCAAAAGGGTCACAGAAAAACCCTTTTAGATCAACAAGTAAAAAAGGAAAAAAAAAAAAAAACAAACGATCATATATATATATGATTATAGAAAGTGAAATCTAACACACACACACACACACACAGAGAGAGAGAGAGAATCAGATGACGAAGAGGATGAGGATGAAAAGGAGGAAAAGGAGAAGTAGAGAGAAGGTTCCTTTTCTGTTGGAATCGAAGGCTCGCATCTCCATAAACAGCTCAAAGCTCTTGTTCTTGTTCATCATCTTCTTCTGAATCTTCAACAGAGAGAGGGAGAGAGAGAGAGAGAATCAGATGACGAAGAGGATGAGGATGAAAAGGAGGAAAAGGAGAAGTAGAGAGAAGGTTCCTTTTCTGTTGGAATCGAAGGCTCGCATCTCCATAAACAGCTCAAAGCTCTTGTTCTTGTTCATCATCTTCTTCTGAATCTTCACCAAACCCAACTCCACCATTTCACTCTTCTCCACCTCCTTTCCCACCCCTCCCGGCAATGCTTTCATTTTCATTCCCACAAAACTACTATTAAATTAATTTTAATAATATACATGCACTTTCTCTCTAACTTTATCTTTCTTCTTCTTGCTGCTTCTCTCTCTCTCTCTCTCTCTCTCTCTAGGGTTTTATATCTATTCTTTATGATTTTCTGATTCTCTATAGTAGACCCTGTCTCTCTCTCTGTTTAATTATTTATTCTTTTTTAATCCATTCGGTTTCGGAGTGTTTAACATTGGCCAACTTGATGGCAAGTTTTTACATTTTTGTCCTTGAGTTATTAGTATTTTCTACTTTGGCCTTCCAAGTTTAATTTTTTTTTCATTTTAACCCTGAGTATATAATTCTTTTCATTTTCAACCTATAACAACATTTGTACCAAAATTGAACCAAAAATATCACATTAGAGAAACATGGCAACCTACTTGGCCCAAACACAATTTTTTTTATATGTACATCTCATAAAAGTATCAATGGTTTCAAAATTATCAATTTTTATTTTTAACTTGAATAAAGGAACTAAATTAAAATTAAACTTGAAGTGTAAGAACCAATTTTTTTAATTTAAAACATTAACGACAAGAATAAATTTTTGATCAAATTATAGAGATTAAAAGTATAATTTTTATTTTCTTTTATAATAAGCTTTTCTTGCTAGTAAATTTCACATTCCTTTCATACCCACCCTATATTACGTTCTCTTAATCTTTTCTTCTTGTGCTTTTAAAAAAGTGTGGTATATGATGATTTGAGTGAGTCTAGATTCTCTCCTTCCTTCTTTTCTTTATTTTCCTACTTGCAGCGGTAGAAATGCATTCTAAGATAATTCAATGGTCCAGATCTGATTATTTTAAAAAATGAAGATATTAAACAAGTTAGATCTGGACCATTAGATCATCTTAAAATGCATCTTCACCATTGTAAGTAAAGAGATAAGGAGAAAGAGAGTAAGGAGAGGATCCTAATTCAAGTTGAGTAGTGCAATACATCATCTAACATTGTTATGAAACCTTTATAATACACACATTTATAAAAATAAATAAATAAAATGCATCATATGTTTAATTAGGATTTTAGACCCAAAAAAATGTCATATTAGCAAAATATGGCACTAATTGGCAACATGTGTTAACCTACTTGGCCCAAACACAAATATTATATTTTCTAAATTTGCCCTTAAATATTTTACTTTTATTACTTTACTCCTTAAATGTAGAAGTTTTCCTTACACTCGTAATTGAAGGGAAATTTTGCTGCCAATTAACAGTCTATATAGTTATAAAAGGGTCTCACCAGATGTAAAAGTACAAGGAAGAGAAAATTAAAACAATAAGGGGAAAGAGAACAGAAAATGAGGAAAATTCTACTATACACACTTCTTAAAAGTAGTGTATCGTATGCACCTCTTAATTATGTAATTTTTTTATTTAATTATAATCAATTTTTTTCTTTAGTTATAACAATATTTTGGTTATGACTTATGTGGTATTTCGTTATGATTTTTTTATTTTTTTAATTATGAGTTAAAAAATATAAAATTATGTTATTTTCTTATTTAGTTGTAAATTTTAACTCAATAAGAAGACTTATAATTAACCAATGAGAAATATCATGTAAGAGTTGGAATATTTTTTCATAATAATATGTTATTTTGTAAAACAAATGGTGGTTGTGACTTTTTTTTTTATGTGAGTCGGTACTCTAATTTGTTTGCATTCAAAAGAAAAAATTATACCAAGACTTCATCAAAAATATAAGGAAATGACAATGAAATTGGAAAAATGCAATACAAAAAGAAGTTATGGAGTTGTTTGGTCTTTTGTTTTAGGTTAAATTATATTTTCTTTAAAATTTAGAGAAAATATAATAAATTTTATAATTTTGATATAATTACACTATTTTTTTAGTAATGTTAAATGGGTTGGATCTAACGCAGATGACGTGAAAATATAAAGATAAACAAAGAAAAGGATATGTTTTTAGTATAAAAGAAACGGTAATATTATTTTTTTTATTCATATAACTAAAGAATTACTAACAAAACTGAAGTTAAATGTTATGTGAATTAAAAATTTTAAGAGAGCTCAAAAATCAAGTTAATTGTTATGTGAATTAAAACCTTAAAAGAGCTCAATGTAAATATATAAAAACTGTAATGCTTATTGTATTTTTTTCAAATATTAAGAGAGATCAATATAATTTCCCTCTTGTTTTATCATTATCTTGGTACTCTAGGGATATGATCCAAAGTTTATGAAAAGGTTAAAACTATAAATTTAAATTTTAAAGTATTTCTCTTCCATGTATTGTCATACCAAATAAAGCATTTTATAGCTAATTGAATTTGTTTATATAAAAATTATAAAGTGATTATATTAAAATAAAAGTAAACAACATATAATTCAAGAAAACAAAACTCTAACGGGATTGTTAATTGTGGTTAGAATTTTCTTTCAATTTCTGGAAGAAAAAAAAAAGATAATTTTTTATATTTTGAGGGTTAAATGCTAAATTTAAAATCTTTAAGGGGTCAATCTAAAAAGTACGTAATATTTGCTAATTAAGCTGCCTTGTCATGCGGACATGGTATTTTTCATCTGCTTTTGGACAGGACAGACGTTGATTAAATTAGTTAATAAAAATAAAATAGAGGGGCTTTGGGTGCATTATAAAAGTGTATTTATTTATTTTTTGTATTTTTTTTTCAATCTACCTATTTTTTTACATATTTTTTATAAAAAAAAATTAAAAAATACATTTATCATTTTAAACAATCTCAAAATGTAACATCAAAATTATAATTAAATCAATCATAAAAAAAAATTAAAATTTATTTTGAACATAATTTTTTTAGTCAAGTTAAAATAGATATAAAAAAAAATTAAAAAATCAGGCTAAATTAATTTATACCAAATGGGAACTTAGTTGTCAAAATTAAATATTTTGAAGTTGAAATAAGAAAAATCATGTTTTAATGGTGAAAGTGAAAAAATACTAATACTTTATAGGAAAAAATATATAATTTTTCCATTAAGTAATAAGTTTAGTTACACAAAAATAATTCTAGTCGTTGTTTGGCAACCTACTATAATACTATTTCATTAACATTATTCTATCGGTATATTTTTGTTTGGTTAATTTTGCACTAGTTTGGGAAGTTGGACTGGGGTGGGTTGGAGCTAAAATAGTTACAGAAAAATAAAATAAATTTTTTAGTCTCAAACTAAAAAATATCACATTCAAATCATAATTATTGCATTTTTTCTTTCACAAAAGTCAAAAAAGTCAAAAAAAATCTATTTCAAACGAGGCTTTTTAAACCCAAATTCAAAAAGCTAAAAAGTCCATCCACATCCCAAATGAAGCCAAGATTTTTGGATAAATTACAAATACACCCCTTAAGGTTTGATTAAAATATGAATCGCCTTCTGTAGTTCTGAAAATTACATTTTACTCCCTGATATTTCTAATTTTATAACAAATTACCTTTTTTATTAATAAATTATCAACTCAATTAACAATTTTTAATGATGTTAGGAATATGTTTCAATTAATAATGTAGGTAATTTTATTATTGTATAGGAGAACAATTATGAATTTTATTTTTTTAGTTAATTCTGTTAAATAAAAAATTCTAATTATGGAGTATTCGTAATTTTTCAAATTATATGAGACAATATACTTTAAAAAAATCTCAGGAAATATATTTATAATTTATCTTAGATTTTTTTATTAATTGTGGTGGCCAAAAAAAAATTTAAACATTAAATAAATGAAAAAAAAAATAATTATCTATATAATAAGGGAAGAAGGTTTTTGAAAGTGTATAAAATGTATGTGAGATACATTTTAATTTAATGGCTGAGATTAATCCCAAATTTATATCAATGGTTGAGATCAGTTTTTTTCCCGCTCAAACGCTCTCAGCTCTCTCTCTCTCCCACCTACCCACGTCTCTTCCCCATTCCTTCTTTATCTCTCACCCTTTCTGTTCTCACATGTCCCCATTCCCTTTTTGTCTCTCCCCCTTTCGAAATCGGACCCTTGGCTGAAGAATGTTTGAGTTCATCTATGGTATGCACAACAGCGAGCACAACAATCCACCGATTGGCGTAAACCTCCGAACTGTGAATCGTCCAGAATCCATTAGATTCGGAGAAGAAACTCGAATCGGGTCAGAGCGTTTCACGGCCATTGCGGTCGCGACCATACTGAATCCTCTAGATTTGATCAGAAGCGTTTGATTAGGAAACATGCACTTGGACACAGAACCACCGTCTTGGCGAAGGAAATCGAACCAGAATCCATTAGATTCAGATCGAATCAGGTCAGAGCCAATTGTGATATATATAGATTATATCATTTCCATTCCGTCTTGACTTCGTCTTTGATAGCTATAACTTCAGGAAAAAATAATTTGGGGAAATTGAAAATAGAATTTAGGTAAATTCTCATTGAAAGCAAGTTTATAAATAAAGTTTTTATCATTTTTCAGTGCACAAGGATAATTATTGTTCAATTACCATTGCGGTCGCGACCATACTGAATCCTCTCTTGAAATGGAGATGGATCGACTCCTCCAGATTTGATCAGAAGCGTTTGATCAGGAAACATGCACTTGGACACAGAACCACCGTCTTGGCGAAGGAAATCGAACCAGAATCCATTAGATTCGGAGAAGAAACTCGAATCAGGTCAGAGCCCAATTGTGATATCTATGTAATATATCATTTCCATTCTGTCTTGACTTCGTCTTTGATAGCTATAAC